GCAGAGGAGGAGGGGAGAAAGAGGGGGCTTTAGCACAGTGTACTTTATGTAGGGGGGTGTGAAGGAAGGAAGGGAGGGAGGGAGGGAGGGAGGGAGGGAGGGAGGTGATGAAAGAGGGAGGGAAGGAAGACTGGAGGGTGTGAGAAAGAGAAGGGGGAAAAAGTAACGGGGAACGTAAATTGAGGGATTAGGAAGAGTGAGAGATGGAGAGAGGGAGGGAGGGAGGGAGGGAGGGGGGAGATGCCGAGGGGAAAGGGGAATGAGAGGTGGGATAGAAAGGATTAGCACAATAAATAAGAGTGGATGGGCCAAACTAAATAAATTGAGAGCATAGTGGAATGTAATAAAGACAAATAACGATAACAAGCAAAAAACAAGAATAATGGTAATAATTAGTGCCAAAATACAATAACTTGCAGTAACATCAATAAAACAAAATAATGGAAATATGAATCTTTATATTAGGTCAGTGGTTCTCAACCTGGGGGCCATGGCCCCCGAGGGAGCCACGGCAAGAATTTAGGGGAGCCACGGCGAGCCGTTATAAATTGTACGTTTCCAAATAATATTGGTAATCTGAATTAAACAAAACTTGTATTACTTATTTTGACTTGACAGAAGAGAATTTTCATTCTTTTCTTTGTCATTTTGTTTAATCATAACGACATTACAATTTTAATATTTACATACTCTGGTGCTAATTTTTTTTTTTTTTTACAGGCGCTGGACCGAGCTGCTGAACTGACTTGTTCAGTAGGTGTCCGTGTGTCATCCCTTTGCAAGTGGTGATAGGACCGAATGATCTCAGTCTGGCCTGGGATACCATCACGAAAACAGTGGAGTGTATTGTCTCTGAACCATATATTGTGTTTGAGCTTGACTCAGGCATAATATACTCCGTAATTGGTGTCACTTATTTTGTTTCATAATTCATGTGGTCGCTGCTTTACGTGGGTGAAATATTTGTACACTTCCTTTATTAATTATTTCCTTATTTATTGATGCCATTGATGTTCATACTCATTCTTTACTTATATAATCCTACCATTTTTAGTGCTAAATTGGTATGACTCACTATTCTTCTCATTCTTCCAAGTTGGGCAGTGCTTGTCAAAGGAGGCGTGTTCTTGCTTACAGGAAGTACACTTCAGCTTGCTAGCTTGAGTGTGAATGTTTACCTGTGTGCATGTTTGTGTATGACTGTATGTGTGCTTTATGTGTGAGTGCATGGGCGTGTTATGTATGTGAATGTGTGTATGTGTGTGTGTTTGCCATTCTAACTCTTGTCCTTCTTTATCATTCTTTAGTCTTTATCACTTGTCTGTGCTGGGAGAAAAATGAAGGAGGCCACGAGGATGTTGAAAATTCCTCAAGGGGGGAATGGAGTGAGAAAGGTTGAGAACCACTGTATTAGGTAGTAGTAGTAGTAGTAAAAATATAAGTAATAAGAAAAATCACAAACGTAATAAGCAGAAAATTTAAATACATGAAATCTGTAAATGATTTTAACAATACACAAACAATAGTAATAATAATAATAATAATAATAATAATAATAATAATAATAAATAATGGCAAACGAGATTTAACTTAGGGTAAATCTGCCTACTGAACACACACACACACACACACACACACACACACACACACCATGGACAGGGGGGGGCGAGGATTTTATAGCACTCAAAACACCTGCGAATGAAACACCCCCTTCCATAATAACTACCCAGGTGATAACCGTATATACCTATGGCACTATTAATCTCCCCATACACCAACGCATTACTCACAGTCCTAATAAACATGTGCCTGAAAACGAGAGGCCAACACCTGTGCCTGAAAACGAGAGGCCAACACCTGTGCCTGAAAACGAGAGGCCAACACCTGTGAACGAACGGTATTATATAATGCATTAACCCCTCGAATACTTTAATATTAAATTATTTTACATATGTGAAGGTATTATCACTAGATATTATATGTAGAACTGAAGTGATATATCTCAAGACCTATTACACGCGGGATGGAAAGCTACTGTAGGATATAAAATAAATATCGCAGAAAAATGAAAGGATTGTTTAATTTATCAGCCTCCATGACCTTATTTACTGTATGAACCCCACCCATACTTACTTCACAGACAAACACCCTACTTAACTTACTTCACAGACAAACACCCTACTTAACTTACTTCACAGACAAACACCCTACTTAACTTACTTCACAGACAAACACCCTACTTAACCTACTTCACAGACAAACACCCACTTACTTCACAGACAAACACCCTACTTAACTTACTTCACAGACAAACACCCTACTTAACTTACTTCACAGACAAACACCCTACTTACTTACTTCACAGACAAACACCCTACTTCACAGACAAACACCCTACTTAACTTACTTCACAGACAAACACCCTACTTAACTTACTTCACAGACAAACACCCTACTTAACTTACTTCACAGACAAACACCCTACTTACTTACTTCACAGACAAACACCCTACTTAACTTACTTCACAGACAAACACCCTACTTACTTACTTCACAGACAAACACCCGACTTAACTTACTTCACAGACAAACACCCGACTTAACTTACTTCACAGACAAACACCCGACTTAACTTACTTCACAGACAAACACCCTACTTACTTTAAATACAAACAAATAAACAATCCTACCCCATAAAGTAGCATTCCCACCCACCTTACACTTCAGTAGCCTTTAAAAAATAAATAAAAAATAAATAAATAAATAAAATAAACATTCACAGGTTCCCATTTAAAAGTCAAAGGAGTCGATAATTAGCTGACTCGTACCTTAACAATTTTCACTTCTTTTTTTTTTTGCAGTAACGAGATGTAGCACGTGACAGACAGCTGCTTCTGGTGCTGCTGTTATCGTTACCTTGATAACAGCAGGACAACAGGTAACAAGTGTGGTATATTACGTGAGAAATGACGACAACGACCATAACAAAATATATACACACACACACACACACACACACACACACACACACACACACACACACACACATTATTATTATTATTCCTACACAAAAACAGTCACTACTAATTAATTTCTACTAAAAAAAAAAATTATAATTTCTCAATATGTTTTAAGTATTATCATTATGACTAATGTACTCCGATAGCTTAACCACAATATTTTTTTTTTCAATAATTCTCAGTAATTTATTGTAATGATTTTAATGAACATTTTTCTTCGTCTTTCCACTCATTACCTCAGTATTACCTTAGTTAATATTTCTCCTTGGATTTATCTTGTAATATTCCTATCAGTTTGACTAACAGTATCTTCATCAAATCGTCGTTTTTACAAATCTTCCACAAATCCACTTTAATAATCCTTCTAAATCAATTTTAACTAAATAGTCCATTTCTCTTTACCTTGAACACCTTCAATCTCTTCTACTACCAAGTCATATTTCCTACAAATGGCTGCCTTTATTGCGTATATATTTCAGCTGTCATTTCTCGTACTAACTCCCAAGAAACGTCTATGTAATATGCATTTCAGCCTCTTCCAATGTATCTCCACACCTGAGTAATTTACTTAGCAATAACGAATTATTAATCACATATACCACCTGTGTTATTAGTCAATATTGCCTCATTCAGCAATTATTATTTAATTCTCCCATTTGTCGCCTCTTTTATTACCCTGAACTAATTCACTCATCAGTAATGGGATGATATTTCATTAGTATTACCAATTACTACTTATTAATACTTCCCGTTCTTCTCGTAATTTATGCTACTTACTACTACTCCTTCTTCTCTCTCTCTCTCTCTCCCTCCGCCAGTGCAGGTCCACCTTTCCAGTCACAGCCCCAAGTGGTAGCTACCCCTCACCCTCGGAGTGTGGTTCACCTGGCACCTGAAGCATAATTAATGCACTACACCTAGGGTCAAGGACGACGTCTAATGCAGTACACCTGTGTCAAGGGGGGGGTCTCGTGCACTATAAATGGTGTGAAGGGGGAAGTCTAGTGCATTAAACCTCGAGTCAAGGAGGACGTCTAGTGCATTAAACCGAGTCAAAGGGGACGTCTAGTGCATTAAACCTCGAGTTAAGGAGGACGTCTAGTGCATTAAACTTCGAGTCAAAGGGGACGTCTAGTGCATTAATCCTCGAGTCGAGGGGGACATCTAGTGCATTAAACTTAGAGTCAAGGAGGACGTCTAGTGCATTAAACCTCGAGTCAAAGGGGATATCTAGTGCATTAAACCTCGGGTGAAGGACTAACTAAGAATAACTACCAAGGCTCTAAATGGGTAACTGAGCGGCTCCGTTGAAGCAAAAGGAAAAGCGACTGATTGACTCATTGAATAAATATTAAAAAGACACTTAAAAAATAGCCACCTCACTCCTTTCTATGTGAAACAACCACTTGATGATGCCAGGAGCTCTCTTATGACGTAAAACAAAGGGTAGAACTACAACAGGCGCTCTTATGACGTAAAACAAAGGGTAGAACTACAACAGGCGCTCTTATGACGTAAAACAAAGGGTAGAACTACAACAGGCGCTCTTATGACGTAAAACAAAGGGTAGAACTACAACAGGCGCTCTTATGACGTAAAACAAAGGGTAGAACTACAACAGGCGCTCTTATGACGTAAAACAAAGGGTTGAGCTACAACTGGCGATCTCTTTTGACGTTAGAGAAGATGTACAGCTAATTGAGTCCTCCAGTGAAACTGAATCACCAGGGGTAACTAAATTAAACAGTTGTCTAGTGGCGTTTACACTACAAATGGCAAAAGCAAAGCCAGCCCCTTAGAAGAGGAGGGAGTTTATCTTTTATTTTAATTTTTTGCATGAGTGAGAGTAGCTATATTTTTAGTGCCATAATTTCTATAAAAAGGGAATCAATGCAAGGCAATAAGGTTGAACAAGTACACCAAGCAGCGGCAGCAACACAATACCCCAGAGCAAGCAACAGAGCCTGGTGGTGAACGAACCCGCGACGCTGAAGAAAGGCACACCGGGCGCGCTTCGTCATCGGTCGTGGAGACTCCTCAGCACTCGTCGTCAAGTCACATCTGCAATTCACGCCGGGAGTGAAGAGGTTAACACCCATAGCAGTCAGGGAGGGAGAGAGGATAATGGTAGTAACAGAAACAGTAAAAGGAGGAGAGGGAGAGCTAATGATAGAGGGAATGAGAAAGTTGACATCCATATCAAGGAAGCAGAGAGGAAAAGGGGGGACGAAGATTAAGAACAGAAGCAATAGAAGAGGAGGAGGAGGAGAACAACAACTAAAGAGAGAGGATATGAGACAAACGACATTCAAAACAGATAAAATATGGTACTAAGGAAGGACGAAGGGTACACGAGAAGAAAAGAAAACTAAAAATTGACTAGAAAGCTTGAAACTAATGCAAATCAAGTAGGTTAATATAACATAGAAAATAAAGGAATGAAGAAGGGAAAGATGAGAAAATGAAAATCTATGAGAGAGAGAGAGACTATTTAATGTTGGATAATTAGTTACGTCAGCTAATGTTTAAGCGCTTATTACTACACCACCAGAGTAAGTGAATTGGTCATCAGCTGCGAGTCTGTCCTCTGCCTGCCTGCCTGCCTGACCACTTGCTTGAAACAAACCACATTTTTATCACCACTTGAATCATTTATCCTCCTTGTGTCAGATCATATTACTTCTACTTTATGTTCATTCTTGATGCTTAAGTAGATGAACAGAGGGTCACAGCTAAACCATTTGTCTTGTGTAAATGCCACAGAAGGTTAACGTATGTGGTCGATTGAACACAAAGTCCTGAGATTTTTTTTTACTCTTTTGTGTTTTTATGTTGATATTTTTTTGTTATTCTAATTAAGTGGAAGGGGAAATTATAGTGGAAGAGAGGGAGGGAATAGAAGAGGAGTGTTGATCAATGGAAAGGGAGAATGTAGAGATACTGTATGGAAGTGGTGGGTGGGGTGGGTGGGGTGGGGTGGGGTTCGGTGGGTGGGTGGGTCGACAATGCTCAGCTCATCATTAATACCCTACGCCCTCCACCTATATACCTACAATACTTACTAACAATACCTACGTCCGCTAAATAAAACTGACAATAATAATAAAAAAAAATCACCTGAAAATGTTTTTTATGACATTCAATTTTCTCTAATTTGTTTTCTATAATATTTTTTGATCATTAATAAAACAAACAGAATAATACATCGTTAAAAATATATTAAACATAATTCACTACAACAGGTCAATATTCTCTTATATTTCTCTACTGTGGGGGGTCGTTATTGTCTACAAACTCCCTCTATTACCATTAAATAATCCATAGAAAGTTGTGCTGTTTACTATTAAATTGTCCATGTGGGTGTCTGTACCGAGCCTTTACCCGAGGGAAGTGAAAGATGAAAAGATGGTGGATTTGAGACGTACGTGTGTGTGTGTGTGTGTGTGTAAGGAGCTGAGTCAAGGTGTGTTGATAAATGGCTTCGAATTATCTCCCTGTAAAGAAAATCATCTTATCTCGAGCTGCTGGAACACGTCTCCCAGCTGGTCGTACCTGATAGATAGCGTTCTTTAATATCTCTCTTGTGTTTGGTAGAGTTTAACGAACGATAGTGAAGAGATACTGAACACATATAAAGTTAGTGTAACTACAAGAATTCAATGACCTTACAAGCTAAAGCTAAAAAAAAAAAAAATATATCATATTCCACAACTGCCCCACTAACCGAACTCCCCATTGCCGGATAACCAGGAATAAAACGCCCACATCTATACAACTAAACACCGAAATGGTAACAGGTATGTGAGGTTTACAGTCTATTACAACGGGACAATCCATGATCGGTGTTTCTGACTGCCATTACTGTACATTAAGTAAGGGAGACTGCGGTCACTGGTAACGGAGGGTGAGGATGGACGTGTGTGTCGCGGATAGAGTTCAAGTTTCCCTCACTTGTAATCTATTAACTAAGAATGGTTCCTCGCTCAAACGGAGTTAGTCGCTGCTTGGACAAAATCCCACTTAGCCGGGCTTAACCTAACCTACCTTAACAGGGACTTACACAATCTTAACCGGGTGGGATTTTATCTTGTGGGAAAACAATCTTGTGGGATTTTGACCTAAAAGAAACTGTCTGGTGGGATTTTGTCCTGAGAGAGAGTGCCTGGTGGAAGATAATCCTTTGAGGGGGAAAACAACACCTCCTCTCTCCAACTTAACTCACAACAACAGGTTAACGGGACCTATAACAATAACAGAACACCTGTGACTAACCACACACACACACACACACACACACACACACACACACTGCAACTTCACCCCACCGCTACTGCTGGTGTCGTGCCAAAGCCCTGAAAGATATGTTTACCTTAAAATATATTATAAATATCCACCCAGCATTAAGGGGGAGGGAGGGAATTAAGGGGTTATGTCTATCATCTAAAGGGGAAAGGGGTTAAGGGTGAATGGGTGGGTGTCAGGAAGGTAGGAAGGTATACAGGAATTTATCATTAATGAAGAATTTATCCAATATCATGGGAGGTTCCAATATCATGGGAGGTTCCAATATCATGGGAGGTTCCAATATCATGGGAGGTTCCGATTAAGGATAGATAATTATAATGTATCCCGTCTTGGTTTGGTTCTCTTCTCCCCTGACAATGTTTATAAATGGAGAGGAAACAATAATAACAAATTAGGGTGAGGGAGGTGATGATTGGTAGGGGGAGGGGTGATGATTGGTAGGGGGGGAGGTGATGATTAGTAGGAGGTGATGATTGGTAAGGGAGGAGGTGATGATTGGTAAGGGAGGAGGTGATGATTGGTGGGGAGAGGAGGGAAAGTGATGATTGATAGGGGGAGGGGAGGTGAGGTTATGATTGGTAGGTGATGATTGGTAGCGAGAATAGAAGATAATGAGTGGTAGAGGGCAAGAGGATGGGTGGGTGGATGGGTTGACAAGACGGATAGACGTAAGGATAGACTGGACAACAAGATAGGCGTCGGGTTGTGACTCTCGTGAAAGTTTCTTGTACATCTTTCTCCAATCCAATAATCCATTCCCTAATCCTAAATCCCCTTCCCCAAACCCATACTTTCTTCCCTAATCCCATGTGCTTTCTCTTCTCATCCCTTAACTCCCTTCCCTAATCTCAAACCTCCTCCTCCTCCTCCTCTAATAATATTCTCCCTTTTCTCATCGCCGTCGGCTAGAAAATATGATAATTATTTTCTAGTGGATAAAAATAAAAAGGGGTTTCCTAGTTTTAATGAAGTATACACGCACACACACACACACACACACACACACACACACAGGAGAGGAGAGGGGGAGATCCAGGTTAAGGGGCTGAAAATTTGAAGCGATTGATTTTGAGGTTTGGCAGGGAGAGGTCAACCCAGGCGTCGTGGTATGGGATGGCTGCCTTCACTCACCTCTAAGTTTACCTTCCCACCGGTGGACGGGAGAGTAGGGAAGGGGGAATGGAAAGAAAGAAAGAGAAAGAGAGAGAGAGAGAGAGAGAGAGAGAGAGAGAGAGAGAGAGAGAGAGAGAGAGAGAGAGAGAGAGAGAGAGAGAGAGAGGAGGAGAGAGAGAGAGGTGGAAAAAGTAAGGATGATGGGAGGGCAAGATGGATGGATGGAAGGTAACAGAAGAAGGCAAGGGGAGGTATGGGGAAGGAAGGAGAGTGGAATAGATGTTAGGAAAGGAAGAAGGAAGACAAGGGAGGAAGAATAACGAAAAGAGGAGTAAGGAGGGAAGAGGGAGGGAAGGAAGGAGGGTAGTTAGGCATGGAAAGAAGGGCAGGAAGGAGGGACACAGCTATGGGGAATTGTGAAATAGGAAGGGGATGGAAGGGGCCCTTATAAACTGAGAAAGGGGACTGAAGGAGACGCCTAGATAGAGAGGAAGGAGGGAGAAGTGCCTGGGGAAGTGTAAAGAAGGAAGTGAGAAAGGAGGAACGAGCGAGAACCTAGGAATGTGAAAGGGGAGGAAAAACAGAGAATCCGGGAGTGTGTGAAAGAGGAAGAAAGGCGGAGGAAAGGGGGAGTAGAAGTCAAAGGGGAATGTGAAAAGGGAGGGAGAAGAGTGTGTCTGGGGGAAACGTGTGGTAGGGAGAAGGAGGAGAGGAAGGTCGAGGAGGAGAGGAAGGTCGAGGAGGAGAGAAACTAATGCGAGAGGAAGGGCGTGATGTGTCTTAACGCTGGGAAGCTACGATGCGTCGAAATGGTGGAGAGGAAAGATTTGACCAAGTTTATATGGGAAACGGGGTCTGAAGCGGCTAAAGGGAAGGAGGGGGTTCTCGGGTGTTGAAGTGGGAAGTAAGGAGTGAGGAGAGGGTACCGAGGTGAAGGAAAGAAATGGGAAAAAAATATCAAATGGGTGAAGGTGCAGGGTGTATGTGTATGTGTGTGTGTGTGTGTGTGTGTGTGTGTGTGTGTGTGTGTGTGTGTGTGTGTGGCACCTTAGGAGTGGCGGCGCCTCATGTTGACTTTACCTTAAAGTTTCTCGTGAGTACTCCTCCTCCTCCTCCTCCTCCTCAGGCCAACATCTCAAACTCCGTTGCTACTCCAAGAAAAAGTCAAAAGTCTGAACATATTTTACCAACTAGAAACGAAAAATAATAACTTTCATCCATTCCTCGACACACAGGGAAAATCATACATAACTTCAACTAGAGGGAAGTACACTATTGTGGACTTATTGTTTATACTGGAAAAACAAAGCAAAACGAAAAAGGTGATCTCTCTCTCTCTCTCACACACACACACACACACACACACCCTGCCAGCTTGAGGGGGGGGCCTGAGAAATTGGGGAAAGGCTGAGGGTGCAGGCGACGAGGAGGAGGAAGAGGAGTGGGAGCTTGGTGAGGCAGGGTAAGTAGCATAGAGGGAGGCAATATCCGCTGGATGGGTAGTAATGATACCCCCATAGACCCGCCTCGGGCACCCACCCACCACAAGCTACAACACTAATAACCCCCATCCAACACTACCACCCACACCACCCACCACCACCACCCACCACAAGCTACAACACTAATAACCCCCATCCAAC